AGACTATACCTTCCAAATAATTTTCGATACCCTGAATCCGAATCTGACGTCAGAATTGCTTCATCACCTAAGATTTTCAAGATATCTTACCTAAAATATGCGAAAAACACGATTTTTCAGCACATTCAAGGCTGAATTTACATCAAAAGATAATTTTTCTCCACAGAAGTCATTATGCCATTTAAAACTATTTCTCTGCCCCCTTAAAATCTTATGTTATTCATTTAAATATTTTTCTTGATCTCTGAGAAATTGTCTCCTAAAACTAAGAAATTCATCATATTTGAAATAACATCTGTTTATTTTCCAGTTTTATTTACAAGTTTTAAAATGTTTTATTAACACTTCAAAGCAATACAAAATATTAATAAATAACAAATAACAACAAACGTATGGTCTAAAACGAAATTAATGATAAAGAACCTGAAGTGGCCTGCCCTTACCCCATAAATGTCGTTTACAGAGATTGTTAAAAAAAGGTTTCTGCAATTAATGTAGTTGGAAAAACGCATTAAAACGCAATGAATTCAAACCATTGTAAATACTTACATACAAAAAAGTACAAATGACTGATCGGATCATACGATTTCGATAAAATTCCTTATATGGTATTTTTTTCTCATTTTATAGACGTATACAAAAGTGTATGTGTTTAGGTAAAGTGTCACTTTCGGTCAAGCGATTTCGCTGAAATTGAATATATCGTAACTTTTTGTCATTTACTAGATGTATACGAAAGTAGTTAGGCTATACATATCAAAAATGTAAGTTTAGATGAAACGTTTGAAAATGTCTTCAGGTAAAGTGCCATTTCCGGTTGGTAGATTTGGTCTAAAAGTTGTTTACGAGCTTTCGATTTTGGTTTAATAGCTNAAGCTCAAAGTTTTCTCTTTAAAATGATGTATAATAATTGTTGGGTTAGATTGAAAAAATATTAAGAAAAAAAATGTTGAAACGACACTTACATTTAAAAGAGTCAAAAAAGATGGTAATTTTAAAATTCTTGGAAGCCATGTTTATTGAAATTAAGGAATGAGACTTATTTTAAATTTAAGCTCAATGTTTTCTTTTTAAAATGATCTGTAATAATCACACCTAATAACCATTTATCAAAGAAATGCCTTTTTGAACAACAAAATTCAACAGCACCACTTTTCATTAAACTTCTAACCTCAGATCTGGATGAATAAGTTTAAAGTGTACCTGAAAATCCTACAGTGCGGATTGCGACGTTTTTTATACAGATTCTTTCTTGTATACACTTGTATAGTAGAAAGTACCGACAGCTCTAAATGCGCCGAATAGATAACTACAGTTTAAAATGAGTGTTTAAAATCGGGACACAAAGGGTTAATAAAACAATTTAAATAATAAAGCATCTATTTATGTAAATAAAGATATCAAGATTTCTTTTCGAAATTAAAATTATTATAGTTTAGATGTTAAAATTAAAATTTTATTTAATAAACGGTATAAATATAGACCAAACTTCGCTGAGTAATTAATTCTTTTTCGCGAGTGTTTAAGAAGAAGTGTTTTAAAAGCGTCTGAGTTTATTCTAAAGCTTTATAAAATTCTTTTTCGAGATTCGTCGAGAGAATCCAGTATTTATGTAAGCATTCGAATTAATTTTAAATCTTTCTTCTTTCTTGTACGCTTTATTTTGATACAAGATATTAAAAATTGTTTGTGTACGTCTTAAAAAAAATTATTTTAAGTTTTACACTAAATCTTACATTAAAATAATTGATGCCTCTAAATAGACATACGAGATACAACTTATTAGAATAAATGTGCTAGTTTTATTTGTTTTTTATTGGTTAGTTACATTTGGAGTTAATTCTGATTAATCATTTCAAGCGAATATATTTTTTATGTCTTGGCAAAATGTGTTGCAATTAGTGGCTAAATCGGCACGTTCATCGAACGTTCGGTTTATTGAAATATGAACAGTACATGAAGTACTCGAATCAACTTTTGTAATTTAATTACATTATTAACATTTTTTTAATCAGTTTGTAATAAGGGTTAAATTCAGGTGCGCTTTCCCAATAATCTGTGAGAGCGACCGAAATGAAGAGGGATCAAGGAGTTAATATTTAGTCAAATAATCCGATTAATTTTATATCGATCTGAAACCGATCATAATTGTTGCACTGCAGCAGCAAGTGGCCTTGGCTTAGTCAAATGAAATAGTTTGTTTGAATAATTAACCCAAAATTGATTAAGATCTTATTTATTTATAATTGTGTAATTAAGTAAACATCTAATTGTAATTGTTAGTGGTTGGACCGATGACATGCGCTTTGCAAAGGGAGGGAATTAGTCGAAAGTGGTTGGGGGATGCTTGCAAACTGAGCATTCCTGCGCTCCTGCTGAATCTGATCGGACGTACTGTATGCAGTGAAAATCGTACGCTATCGCTTCAGTGTTCAAGAGAAAGCCGCGAAATAAACAAGTTTAAAGTGGAAAAAATATGTGTTAGTGAAAATAATTTTAAATTAAAATAACCTTTAATTAATATTTATAATTTTCGAACAATGTCATTACTTCAAATATAATACAATTAACATTGTGATGATTTATTAATTTATGGTAAGCATTTATTTGATATTTATTCAGTTTTTATCATGAAAAAACTACCACAACTTATTTACATCAAAGTCTGGAAAGTTGTCCATTGTAATCGAGGAACTTTATTAAGAGTACATGACCGTTATGCCGAATATATTAAGTAAGAAAGTTTTGCAGGAAAACTTTACAGACATGCAATATATTTTTTGCATAAAACATTAAAGTGTCACATTTCGGGTACCCTAATTGATTATTCACAAAGTTAATTTAACCAAAGTCGTGCTTAACCTAGAAAAGTATTTATTGATTTAATTTTAACGTAAACCATCTTTACTATTTCTCTATTTATTTAAACAACCTTTTTTTACTTTTATAAACAAACCACCCTTTTAAAATTAGTCTCTTTTGAAACGATAAATTGTTAAGCCTGATAAATTTAAACGTTCCGATTGAAAGCTGGAATAAATGATCATGTAATCCGGTTGAAATTAATTTCATTAAAATATTAAAGCTGACAAGTATAAATTTTAATATTGAATTAAAACTAGAATTACTATCATTACACCTAAGGCTAGACCTAGGTTCAAATGTCCGTAAAAGCTTTCGTATTTAAATTTTAATAAAGTTGATCTCACTTATTACACAATCTAAAATTATTTTGGTGTTAATAGACATAACGTGTAACTGTTTGACATTAAAACCAGTTCGAATGCAATTATTTATAATTTATAAATATAAATAGCCAATTTCCAATCAGCAATTTAATTGTTCGATACCGCAAGTGTAATAAAGTGTGAATAACACAGGCCAACANTAAAAAATGAAGAACACCGCGCTGTACTTAAAATAGCTCAAAATTACCAAACTTCAAGGACTTGTGCAATTGTTACGAAACCGAATTTTAAAAAACTGTTATCACAGTCAGAAAGGGCGCTCTTTCAGCTATCTTAATCCGGGTTTTCGTCTGTCAATATCTGTTAGAGCAGGAAATTTCCGATAAGATAGATATGGTTCTCGAGTTTTCTCCTGCTCACATAAGAAAGTTATCGACCCCAACAGGGTTTAAGGGGCACACCTAGTGTGAAATTTTGAAAAGTGTTAAAGATAGTTTTTGAGTTACAGCCTTCTAAATTGTAGCAGAAATGTACGAATAGGTCTACCCTTGTGGAATATTTCGTTTATAACTACGCGACATGTTTTCGGAGCCAGATATATTCAGTTTTACTGTGACCGTTATACTGAGCAGTTATTTTAGTAAAAATGAGTAAAAAACCTCTTTATTCAAACCAAAAAGGTACTAAAGACACTCCCAGGCGTAGATCAGTTTCACGAAAACGAAGATTTACGGNTAACTGTTTGACATTAAAACCAGTTCGAATGCAATTATTTATAATTTATAAATATAAATAGCCAATTTCCAATCAGCAATTTAATTGTTCGATACCACAAGTGTAATAAAGTGTGAGTAATTTATGATAGATGTTTTGACTAGTTTCTTCAATCGAAGCGATAATAAATATATTTTGCTACGGGTTATAATGAAAATAAACTATTCAAAGGTAACCCACTACTTAGTGTACTATGTTAAACGTGAGGTAAACTGTCTAAAGTGATTTATTGTACGAACATATTTCCAAAACTTTAAAGCAATCCTTCAAAACTTCAATAACCTTCTAAATATTTGAAATCGTTTGGATATTTTTTGATGATTAAAAAAGTTTCAATCAAAAATCAATATCGTGGTTAAAAAAAATATATCCTCCATCTTTGAAGCATTAAAATATGAGCATTACGTTTCCTATCAATGAATGTTTTGCTCGTTATAAATCACACTGGTGAAATGATCTGAATAGATATTGAAAAACTTTTCTATACCGTATCAGATCGCTTATTACTGCAACTTGGGGAGATCCGAGATATAACGTTTTGTGATTTTATCGATTTTATCGAAACGAAATAAAATAATTTTAATTATTTGCAAAAATATATATTTTTCTATTTCAAAGAGAAAAGAATACCGTTTGTAGGAAATCTTTATATATCATATAAAAGAGTCGGAAGTGTCATAAACATACAACTTATCCGGGGGTCTAATTCGCTAGATATGTCACATGCATTTAGACGCCCATTGGAAGCGTCAACGACCGAAAATGTGGCTGAACGTCAATTTGTATGCCGTATCAGTTCGCTTACATTTCTAAATATTTTCCCTCTGTATCTCTGGATTTATTACTGACGTTGATTTACAACGTTTACTTGCTGTTACAGCCAGGTTTAATCTTCAACCATAGCTTCTGTTTGAAACCAGACAGACACAACCGCTTTACCAATTTACATTTAGGGATACCCAAACATTAATTTAATTTACAAACTCGATCTTAACGTTTGTTAAATTACCTCCTTTAAATTTTGATTTAATTAATGATTAGAGCATCAACCTATTAAAACCTTGTATGCATACTATTATATTAACATTACTAACTTAATCAATCAAAGCGTTCTAAACGGGTGAACATCGTAACATCTTAAATAGATACTATGTTGCGATAGAAACCAATACACGCGGAGATGCTTTGGTGAGAGGTACTCTATCTATCCTCAAAATAGAGTTTTCTTAGATTTATAGGTAATCAACTTGTACTGTAAAAGCCTTGGAATAAAAAAGCGATGGGGAATAATATACGTTTTAAAGAACTATTACTAAAGCTTCAAGGATTCTCTTTCAAGGAATTAATTTTGTCCTCACATTTCAAGTGATTCTTGAGATAGGATTTTTAGTGATTGTCACAACAAAAGAATTAATTTTAATAGTTTTCATTCTTTTTATTCCACCCTAATAAAAATGAATATTAATTTTCAACACGACATGAAACGTTGTTGTTTCTACCCGTGCGACGATAGCAACAAACCTCCCAGCAACAAACTTTTACCCGTAATTTCCTATCTACTTTCTTAGCNTGACCAATAGGGATTGCTGCGTATTTATTGCCGTTATGGAGCAACACTGCTTTAAGGCTTTCTTTAGAGGAATCTATAAAGAGCCGCCAGTCATCGGACTTATACACACCTACTTGATATGTATTGATAAGTCCTTCTATATTTCCTTCTATATTTTGTTCCGGGTAACAACATGTTCCTCTCTCTAAGTCTGGAAGCCAATATTTCAGCTGAATCTTTAAAAAGACTAAGATCGCGAATAAGATCATCTAATGAATCTTGATAAAAAAGTTCAGGGTCTTTGGCACTAACAGAATCCTCATAATCACTGTCCAGAACTCATTTCTTCCAAACGACATTCATTTTTATTAGGTGGTACTTTGTCTAATCTCGCTACTTTTCCTTTCTTGGCTGGTGTTATGCTTTGTACGTTAGAATATAATATGTTTCCTTTATTTTTTTTATTATAACCTGTTATATCACAGACACAGAAGTAACAGTCTTCATTGTGATCCTTCCTTTATCAACAACAAGTAACAACTGCAGACAAAACCAACAATCAAAATCATTTAATAGCAATTAGCAGCAAATAGCAGTATTAACCACGTAAGTGACAGTTCGCGTTAAAACAAAATCAATTGTTTTTTAAAAACCAAGTCAACTTTGAGGACAAATTTTAGAAAAATGTCGGTCGTGTAGTGGCAGGCCAACTGGATACGGTATATTTTATTTTTTTACGCAAAAACTGTAAATCTTGTGTAACAAGGTGAAAAAGAAAAAAGTCACTAAAGAATAAGCCTTCCGACTATATTTTTTATATCAATATTCCATCGTTTCAAAAATTTTATCTAAAAAATCCAATATGGTTGTGATTTTCATCTTATAAAACGCTATAGAGCTTAAATAAAAAATAATATGTAAATTGTCTCTTTTAGAATGAATAAATCTCGTAAACAATCGTTTCATTTTTGTAAATTCCCATTAAAACTATAACTTTGCTAACAAACCAAATAAATTCATAAAAATTAACTGGATTTTGAATGTCCTGTTTCTCAATTGAATACCACCTGGTTAAAAGATAAATGTATGGTTAAATATTTCAACTTTAAAGTTTCATTTTTAGATATTTAATCATATTTTCGCATATTTATTTTACTTGTGCGTTAGCATCGCTAACTTGATGTAACTCAACATCAGTTTATCGAGGACAGAACAAACCGACGTACTTATTAATTTCAACAGATGATATCTCGAAGAAGAAAAAAGATATTTAAATAATTGAAAAAGAGTTTTAAAGGGAAAGGGTAATAATTTCAAAATTTCTAAAAAAAATTTTTTTTTTTAATTCC